ATCCTCTCCGATCTTTCCAAAAGAGGGCAGCACATGCTTATATCTGAGGTTGGTTTCAAATAATTGGTGGGTATTAGTTGAATTTGAAACTTCCCTTGTTACATAAACAGGGCTTAGTTTCATTAACACTTTATTTACGTAATTATTTACAAAATCAAAACCCCAGATTGTTCACTTTATTTTGTTGTTTAGCAATAGATTATTGGCAATTACTGTGTATAAAAACAATTACTGTATATAAAAAAATAACAATAGACTATTGGCAATTACTGTATATAAAAAACAATAGGAATAAAAAATGGTTCCCTATTAACATTGCAAGAGATATTTAGTAGAAGAGAAATGATAATACCGGAGTTTTTCAGGTAGAGTTCTTGAATTGCAAGAGCCAACATCAAATGGTTTATGTCCCAGGCTTTCAAAACTTTTTCCAGTTCTTAACCTCTGCCACAAAATGTTGGAAGGCCATTTTAAAATGTCAGTTCTGTGATTCAGTTGAATATGCCTAGACTTCATGGTGGCTGCTTTGTGATTCTCATGTGCCTGAATTTAGATACCACCCTAGACCATAATCCAATTGGTGAGGCTTTGGCTTAGTGTAAGTCAGATAGCGGTGGATTATTTAATAAATTGTGGTTATGCAGAACATGATGTAACACACAATATTATAGTTTTTAAATACAGACACTTCTCGCTAATAAGCTGTTTCTGGCTGAGGACCTTCGTTTCCTATCTCTGCTGTATTAAGAACACTAAGACCTGTGTATATTAATCAAAGCAGTTGTGCTGTGTAAATTGTAATGCTTAATTGAGGGGTCCCCAATCCCTGGGCCATGGCCCACTACCAGGCCTTGAGTTGTTTGGAAATGGTGGGCTTGTTGCCAGTTGCGAAACCATCCCCCCCCCTCCACAAAGCCAGAATCCCTGGCTTAATTCACTTGGTTTTGAGTATGCCCAGCCATTTTAGACCGTCCGAGTATTTGCGGAATGAGGATTTACATATTATCCTTTACATTTCCATGAAAGCTTGAGGCTGCTTATTTGCAGCTGTTTCTCTGAAATGTTTGACAGCCTTGGCTAAAGCTGAGTGGAGAAATGCTGTTTTGCTGGCTCATTGTGAACAAATAATCCTAAAGCTGTAAACATCCATTGAGTTAATCAGTAAAATGATAGGACATTTAATCTTTAAGAAAAAAGAAACCCAAGGGGTTTTTATGAGCTGTCATCTACAGGCCAGTGCTTAGCCCAGTACACATAAAATAAACAGACTGATCTCATGGGTTATACTCTACCTACTTCATGATTTGAAACCATTCTAATCCATCTGTATAGAGCACCTCGTACAAAACCAGAGCTAAACAAGCATTGACTTCAGATGTCCCAAGAAAGTGAAACCCTGAAAAATCCCTTGTGTCATTTGGTAGTCGGATGTATGATGTTAATAAGGGTGTTTCTCACTGACTCCAAATATGATGGTTGACTTGGAGGCTTTATGTTCAGAGATCTTGACTTTGATGTTCAGATTACAAAAAGGACCCGAACAAACTTATCTGTTTTTGTGCTTATTGTCTCTGTGTATGTCTATTGATGAGGGAGAGGAGCAGTGGGGTGTTAAGTTACTAAAGGAGTCAGGTTGTGTGTTTACAGTTTTCCTCCATTATCTGAGAACAGTGGCATTTGGGATGTATTTAAGCATTTAGTGGGTGAGTTGGCTTTTATTTCCATGTATGTCTTCAGGTTTTTTTATTTTATTAATATTGCCTTAAGGTTTATGCACGAGGTATGGGTGAGTAGGCAAAAGTCTTGCAATTTTTTTTTTTTTTTGATAAATGGCTTAACCAGCCCAAGTGTTACTTTACTGAGTGTACATTTTTCTTCCATCTGATTTATTGAGAACAACCACTGAATTGTTGTTTCAGATCCTGCCTTCCCTTTATGACTAACTACAGCTTCCATTGCAACATTTGCCATCACAGTGGGAATACATACTTCTTAAGAAAACAAGCAAGTAAGCTGGTAGAAAAAAACGTTTCTATACCCGTTTTTTTCCCCCGCATCCACTTTTATTTTTAAGTTATAAACTTCAAGAGATGGAATTATCTGCAGCACTCTTAATCCTTTTATCTCAGGAGTTGTTAAGCCATGCACGCTGTATGAAATACCTGAAATTGGCACTATTACAGCCGTTTTCAGAAGCTTTATAGATGCAGAGGAAGCAAAGTCCAGCTTTGTTGGATCTGTGTTCAAGCTCTGACTGGCCTATTCCCTTCCGTGGCTTTATTGGTTGTTCATTTTGGAAAATATTAAGACTTGCAGGCAGTCCTTGCTTAACAACAGTAATTGGGACTGGAGTCAGTTCTGCAGTCCCCGTCATTAAATGAATCACCATTGGTCATTAAGTGATGACCACAGGTGACTATATCTTATGACATCCTGCTAGCATCCATTTTCACTTGTTGGAAGCTGGCAGGAAAGGTCACAAACTGGTCTTGTTTCTGCAGGACTCTGCAGTGGTCAGAAATACATGCTGGTTGCTGGGCGTGTGGATTGTGGATTGTGATCATTTGACTGTAGGGGCACTGTAACGGCCAGAACTTTGAGGACCAGTCATAAGTAGCATTTGTTCAGTTATTACCTGGGGACACCTGTATCACCAAAACCCAAAGGAACATAAAGATTATTGAATTTATCTGATTTAAGATTGTAGCTCTCAAGTTAGAGCTATACACAGTCCCAAGATACACAGCTTCATCTCTTTCTCTCTCCATTATTAAACCAATGTTGAAATTTCCTCCATAACATTTTTTTTCACTCACGCCTCTCTTAACTCATGATGTTTATTTCAGACCATAAGAGTGTTATTGAAGAAGCTGGTCTCCTTTCTGTGTCTCTTTTCTTAAAGATTTAAAAGAAATGTGTCTTAGTGCCTTGGCAAATCTGACTTGGCAATCCAGGACGCAAGACGAACACCCCAAAACCATGTTCTCAAAAGACAAGGTACGGATCCGTTGTTTCTGCTCTGATCTTGGACCTCTAGAATGGCTGAAATCACAGAGGACAATTTTGCTAGTGGTGGTTGAAAGAAACCTACCAGAAATCTCCTATTTATGTGATTAAATGTTGCTTTAGTGTTAAAAAAATATTTATCTGCTGCTTAACCATGGTTGGGCGTCATTCAAAGCCATTTAGTAGAATAACTAGTGCAATTTAAAAATATATCCATGGAGCCAATGCAGTAAGTAGTAAGGCCGTTTCTGAGATGAACAAAAGTTGTTGTTTTTTTCTAAAAGTTTGCAAGAGCTAAAATTCTCAGAACCAGCTTCAAGAACACTTTCCTGGTATCGAGTACGGAGGGAATCCTGATTTGGTAGCAAGGATTCTTGGGATGGTTTAAACTTTTTGCCCCCTGAGAATTGAGTCTGTTTTGGTTTCACACAAATGAGAATAAGCTTTGTACATTTTGTTGAATGTTGAGAATCATTTCAATGCTCCTGATGAGAGGCCATTTGATCAGCCGTGCTCTCTCATGCTACACATCTCCTCATACAGAAAACTTAAATTTTCTTCTTGGCAGGAATGTATGTTAGAAGAGCATTCAGTCACATATCCTGCTGTTGATTCAAAGTGTGTGTGTATGTGCATGTGCATGTGTATGAAAGAATGTGTGATGTAATGGTTAGGAATAAGGAATACTTCTCAAAGTAATCTTATTCAAAGGGCTCTAATGAAGAAAAAGATAGAGGGAAGAATGAGAGTCCCCTTCTAGGGAAGATGGGTGGCATAAAAAAATTAATATATTAGTTGAATTGTGCTCTGTGAGGAAAGGCAGAGTATACAGCTATTAAATCTTGGTGAAATATGTATCTTCTATGTATTTGTCACCCACTTAGAATTCCAGATTATCTCCATGAGTTAAGGAAACTGCCTTTAGCTCTATCTTAATTGCACCTTGCCTTTTGGGTGGCAAAGCAAAATTATCTTTTAGATCTGTGCATCCATAATAAACTTTACTATCAATTTAACAGAATAACGCGGAGTGTTATAGTCCAATTTCCTACTCATCCAGGAAACCCTATACCATTTCAGACAAATGGTTGTTCAATCTCTGCCTAAAAACCTCCAGTGTTGGATCACCCACAACTTCTGGAAATTTCTCCTTAGATCTAGGTGGGTTCTCTCCTTGATAGGTTTCCATCCGTTGCTTCTTGCCCTGCCTTCAGGTACTTTGGAGAATAGGTTGATCCCCTCTTTTTTCTGGCAGCCCCTTAGATATTGGAACACTGCTATACTATTAGCTCTGTTCCTTTCTGTTAAACTAGACATACCCAGTTCCTGCAACCATTCTTCATATGTTTTAGCTTTCAGTTTGCTTCAGTGCATAAAGCTTAACACTGTTTATAAATCTTTTATAAATAAATCTTTTATAATAAAAAGTCTAGCCATATCGTAGGTCAGACATGTCAAACATAAGGCCCGGGGGCTGGATGCGGCCCACGAAGTGGTTTCATGTGGCCCGCGAAGCCATCCTGGAAACAGTGAGGGAACGGCCCCCTCTGCCTTGGCCCTGGCCCAGGCCAGCTGGGAGCCAATGTACAATTTTGTGGTGGCCATCTATGCTCAAATGCATTCAGTCTTAGCTCCATAAGCCCCCCCCCCCCGCATGACCTGAGGGGAACAGTGAGGCTCCTCCAGTGGACCATGCCTTGGCACTTGCCCTGGTCCCACCCCATTCTGCCAGAGACCCTCAGATCTTTCCCACTCCTGCCCAGGCCCCCACAGGCACCCTTGATGCGAAGGATGTAGAGCTGGCCATGCCCACCCAGTAGGCCACACCCACTCCATCCACACCCACCCAGTAGGCTGCACCCACCCTGGCCACACCCACCCGGCCCCCTGAGGGCAACCGCAATGCTGATGCGGCCCTCAATGAAATTGAGTTTGACACCCCTGTCGAAGGTGATTGGTTAAACTTGGTAAATTGCCTTGGCTGTGAACTTCCCTGTCATCATTATATTTGATTTTTTTTCCCCAATAGGATATTATACCTTTTATTGATAAGTACTGGGAATGTATGACAACAAGGCAAAGACCAGGAAAAATGACTTGGCCAAACAATATTGTAAAAACAATGGTAAGTCAAGATGAGCAACGCTGATATTTTTCTTACTGATCAAATTTGATTACAAATGGAGAGAAAATGCATTGGTGAGTAGACGAGTTAATCCGTTTTGCTTTGTAGTTCAGTTTCTCACTGAACTACAAAAGCTTATATTATTCAATTTTCGACCCAATGACTAGCATTTGATCTTCTCTGAATAAGGAGTTTGAATTGTTTGAATCGATCTTGTTTGAATGCTTCATTCTAGTGTAAAGAAAGAGATGTGTTTTTGGTGAAAGAGCATCCGGATCCAGGTAGCAAAGATCCGGAAGAAGATTACCCCAAATTTGGACTCTTAGACCAGGTACGTCGGTGATACAGAACATCTTCTAGCATGCTGGCAAAATTTCATGACAGGGTAAATATCGATCATACCAAGTAAGACTTTGAATTTGGACTCTTTCTGAATGATGGAAGGTTCCAGGAAGGTAGGGAAGTTCCAGTTGGACAAATATAACCCAGAAGATTACAGTTTGGGGGGGGGGGGGAGAAAAAAGTAGCCATTTGAGCAGAAGCAACACCTTTGTTGTTTGCTCCTGGGAAGGAAAGCTATGGCAAATCTAGACAGCATACTAAAAAGCAGAGACATCACCCTGCCAACAAAAGTACGTATAGTCAAGGCCATGGTTTTCCCAGTTGCAATGTATGGCTGTGAAAGTTGGACCATAAGAAAGGCTGAGCGCCAAAGAATCGAGGCCTTTGAACTATGGTGCTGGAGAAGATTCCTGCGAGTCCCTTGGACTGCAAGGCGATCAAACCGGTCAGTCCTAGAGGAGATCAACCCCGACTGCTCTTTAGAAGGCCAGATCCTGAAGTGGAAACTCAAGTACTTTGGCCACCTAATGAGAAGGAAGGACTCACTGGAGAAGAGCCTGATGCTGGGAAAGATTGAGGGCAAGAGAAGGAGGGGACGACGGAGAATGAGATGGCTGGATGGAATCACTGAAGACGTGAGCTTAAATGGACTCCAGAAGATGGTAGAGGACAGGAAGGCCTGGAGGGACGTTGTCCATGGGGTCGCAATGGGTCGGACACGACTTCGCAACTAACAACAACAACACCTTTGACTGGTAGGGAGTTGGACACTAGTGTGGCTTCTCCTGCCAAAATGTCTTTCCTTGAAACCTGGGGGAAGACAAGCTCACATAGGCTATTTCTTTCCCTCGGGCCAAAGGTTAACCTCTCAAACTGATGCTGGAAAATTATTTGTTGTTGTTCAGTGATGGGCTCACTAGCAGGATGCTACTTTTTTGGAATGATTGAAGTTGTTCGCACCTAACAACAGACCCTTTTTGTCTGCCGTAGAATTTACTGGGGGAAAATTCCATCACATAGTGGCATTCGTTTCTGAGAAAATAGGAACTCTTAAGATATGGGGTTTGTTGGTAGCTTTCAAATCTTAACTAATTGAAACAGTTGCGAATTGGAAAAGTGACTGAATTTTTTTGTTTGCTTGTTTAAAGAAATATCCTTTGCTTTCTTTTTAGGACCTTGCTAATATTGGTCCTGCATATGATAACCAAAAACAGAGCAACACTGTAGCTACTCCCGGAAGTCTAAACGGTAAGTTTGTTTAATTTTTTTTCTAAGGTGAGGAAACATGAATTTAAAATTTTCAATCCTCAGCCTCTGTAGTTGAACATATTTTCTTTATAAATCCAGATATAATTTTTACATCCACTGTTTATTTTTGTTTTTTGTTTAGGGGTTTTTTTTTGGTTCTTTTTTTTGTGTGTTCTAGCGGTAAACAATTAAATAAATGGTTAAATTTAGTTTGCAGTCCTATGCCTGATAGCTTGAAAGTTCCAGTGTATTAAATGGGATAAGCTCCCAGTTAAGTATTCATAAGAATACGTCTTTATTGAATTAATTTTAGATTAGAAGCTATGTTAAAGAATTCTTTCTGCATTTTGTTTACATGAAAAGGCATACCATATGTGCACATGGGCCTAAATCTGTGTTATTTATTGTAAGAAACTCTGTGGATTCTTTTTCAGAATTGGAAATTTGGCTAATAACACCTCCCCCCAAAATAAATTATTATTATTAACAACAACAACAATAGTATAACAAAAACTAGAAAAGAAGTCTGGCAAATTTAAAAATGCAATCTCAAGTTGAAAAAATATTCCAATATTTCATTCAAGCTTGTTGCTACAGATATTTTTTAAAGCATGAATGTGTGGTTGTTCATCTAACTTACTCTCTCTAACTAACTCTCTGGAGGTTCTCATTCGTGCAGGTCCTGGTTGTCCCAAAGGTGCTTTTATTCTAAAGGCAACTGGACTTTCAGATTTTTCTTTAAGACTTTTGGCTTCTCCTCCATGAAACCTTCTTCAGTTCTTGGATGAGAAGCGAAATGTCTGAAAGGAAAATCGGAAAGTCCAGTTGCATCCAAACAAAAGCACTTTGTGAACAGCCCTGTATCCAGAACTCATCTGGAAGTGTGTTTATGCTTCTAAAGATCCCCTGTTGAGTTCAGCGGGACTTGCACAAGAACCTCAAACCTCACCTAACCCCAATCTAAGGGTAATGCAAATTAAGGAGGCTCAATAAAAATAGATTTAATAATCTTTAATTATTGGATTCAGTTGCCACTGCAGATAAGTCCCAGTCAGGGGATAAAAAGGCTGGCTGAGAAATAAAATCCTTTCCTGCCAGTCCCTTCTGGTTTCATGGTAACCCCTGGAGATTTCATGCTTCCTCAGCAGCTAGAATAAAGACCCCCAGCACCCTGGAACTGAAGGAACCTGGTTGTTCCATCTCTCCTCGGCTTAGCCTGTTTTCATGCGGGCAGTAAGAGCAGATTAATCCGATTCTCCATTTCTGAGATGGAATCCAAGGAGAAAAGAAACAGAGAATTTCTCAGCTTTTTAAGGAGTTATTAAGGACTTTCTGGTTTCTGAATAGACACACAAGGCATTATTGTTTAATTTCCATTTCATGCTAATGGTGTTTTGTTTTCATGTCATAACTTTCATGTTACAACAACATGGTGCAACTTCTGTTCTTACAGGTGGAGCCTCTTTGGGAGGTGAATATTTACTTTTCAGCTTCCTAAAACTTAAGTATTGTGTGAAAAGCCTTCTCCCTCCTTTCCTCCCCCTTCCCCCCCCCCCCCCCGCTTTTTGTTTCGTTTGGCCAAATTGTCGTAGAAACTAAGTATAATTAATTAATCCCAAGCCTACCGCATT